AAAGAAAAAGGGGGTTGGGGGGAGAATTTTAGGGGTAAAATTTTTGGGGGTAAAAAGGCGGGGGGGGGGGGGGGGGGGGGCACGCGAGAGAGCGAGTTGATGACGGGGTATGGTGATGGGTTACGTGTTGCCATTGCCACACACACGCGAGGCTTAGACGCCCCCTCACGGGGTTCCCAGAACATGATTCTAACTACACACACACGCGCGCACACAGAAAAAAGAGCAAAAAAGACGGAGCTGATGTATTTATTCGTTGACTCACAACAAACCCATGCTGAGCACAGGTACCCTACGTATTCAAATCCCGCAGTTTCCGCTGCTACATGTCGCTGCTGTCTGTGAAAGAACTATGGCCCGTTCGCCCGTCCTTCCTTGTCGTCTTTTTCTTTTTTTTAAGTTGCCTCTCACGTGCACGTTGTTCCTCAGCTTTCGCCTGCTGTACTGGGTGTACTGGAAGCGCTTGAGCTGGATGGCGAGAATCGGCGGCAGGCGCCACACGTCCATCTTCTTGGAGGCGTTGCGGAACTCCTTGCAGCGGGAGCAGTACCCCTGACGAAGCGCGTTTGGTGGAGGGAGGGAGGTACAATAAAGCACGGGAGAAAAAACGGTGAGGCGGTGTGGGGGTAAAACCTGTGAAAATCACCAGAGTTCCGCCCCTTTGCGCTTCAAGTTTCTAGCAGCCGCAGCAGCAGTATTGGCTTAAGTAGTCGTCAGGGAGGGACTGAACAGGCTATCTTCTATTTTCCACTCATTTTATGGCGTCTACGGTATTTCGGGCCACATAAAAAAAAATCACCCGCCCGCCCATTTGGAGAAAATAAGAACACGTTCAAGCAGCACATGACATGTCACCCTAACCAATCCAGAAACAACAGAAAATAAAAGTCACCGCACGTGTAGATAAGGCAGGCTCCAGAAATCAACCACCAATCATCCTTGGTTGTTGACCCTTGCTCTGTACCCTAACCCCATTAACAGTCCCCCCCCCCCATTGGAAAACAAGCCAATTCACTCCGTGAACTCGGCATCCAGGTTACCGCTTCTTTTTTATCTCTATTCTTTTTTTGCGGTAACCATGAATGGTGGTCGAGTAGATCAAGCTGTGCGGGGTCGATAACCCTCACTCCGCGCAAGGGGGATGATCGCACCACGTTGTGTTAAAATGGTCAACCACTCTCGAGGCAGTTACACAGTGCTTACAACTGTCTATGGAAGTGAAAGCACCAGCAAATAAATTAAGTCATACGCAGCTGTCATCCGTACGCGAGGAAGTAAGCACAAGATGCCGAACACCCTTAACAGGATGCAGCGCACCCTACATGCGACTCGCCGAATACCTCACGGCGCTTCGCACTTGGTGATGTGAGAGCCTGGTCCGGTCAGAACCCGGCATGTTCCGTCCCGGCTTTGTAGGGATGCGAGGTCAATGGTCTAACGACTACGGCATGCACGACTATGAGTACACCCCCCCCCCCCCGTCTCTCTCTCATTCATTCTCACCTCCTTGATGTCTTCCTGGGCGGTGAAGGTGTCGAGGCACTTCTCCAGGGAGAGAGGCCTAGCCTCCAAGTCCTTGTGGAGGGCGATGCTGCTGTGCAGCAGGCACGACAGCGCCTCGCTCGCGTCGTAGTGCTCCTGTTCAATTTATTCATACGTAAAAAAAAAAAAAAACGCTCGTCAACACCAGCGTCTAAGGTTAAAGCGAACGGGCATGTATTGTTGACGCCGTCAATGTAGGACAGCGGGAGGCGGAAGGCGGTTTATACGGCATACCCTTCAGAGTCTACAAATAGATCGACAAGGTTGGTCAGTGCCATGTCTGCACACCGCTGTGCCTTGGTCCACACTCTCTTACAGTACTCCCTAAAAACGTTGTATCGACGAGAATACTTGCAGCGTTGGCGCGGGCAACAACACCCCAGGGCGACCGCGCTGGTGTGCCCGCCAACATAAAAAACCCGAAACCTGTAGACACGATGGCGACCAAGAAAAATAACACCAAGAGGTTCATGATCTCCATGGCGATAAAAAAAAATCACACCGAAAGGGTTCGTGATCCTCTTGCCCAAGGAATACAGAACAAAAACAAATCAACTGCCAAATACACACGCACACACGACCTAAACTGCGCTGGTGCGCCCGCCGACGCCCAAACCTTGTAAACAGAGACCATGGCGACCAAAAGACCAACCGCCAACCTCCTGGCCAACAACAACCACAGGAGAGCAACAAACAACGTACCACAAAACCTCAACTACGCTGGCGTGCGCGCCGACGTCGCCCAAACCATGTGTAGAGACCTTTCATGGCGACCAAAGACCTACCCGGCACACACACTAACCTTTATTACGCTGATGTGCCAGTCCACCCCAACCGAGTCGCCGGCCCTCACGGGGCACGGCGTGTCGTCCGGCCTGATGAAGCACCCCACGCACCCCTCCGTCCACCGGCAGCGGGAGCAGGCGTACCCGTTGCTCTCCACGAGCCGCAGCCTGAAGCCCCACCGGTTTACCTCCCCCGCGGCGACCCAGGCGGAGGTCGCCCGCACCGTCTGCGGGCAGTCTCTGTCGTCTCCCGTGCCCATGCACGGCTGCTGCACACCGCCATCCTCCTCCTCCTCCTCCTCCTCGTCCTCCCCCTCGCCGTTGGTTCTTCTTCCCCCTCTACCTGCTGCTGCTGCTGCTGTCGACGGTGGTGATGATGATGGTGACCCACCTCTGCCTGATGCTGTTGAGCCACCATAGACGTTGTTGTCGTCGCGTCTTCTTCTTTGGGATGATGTGGAGGAGGCCGCGGAGACGCCGCCGGCCTTTAGTCGAAGGAAGCGGTGGAACCTCCGGTAGAGTTTGTCGTACAGCTGCCGACCGGTCATCGGAACCACCCTGCACACCAGCGGGGTGCCGAAAACCTGCAGGTTGTTTCGGTGTTCGAGAGCAAGCGCCGTCGGTGTCGTGGTCGCGCATGGTCACCGTGTCCGTGTCTGATGTGTGCGTACTTCTTGCGTGTGTGAGGCGAGTGGCGACTTTCGCTACTGCTGTCTAAGTCGCAATTTACATAGGATTACATTGTATGATTCAAACCTCTCAACAAAAAATCAGGGCAAGGAAGGCGCTTCCGCCGCTTCCGCCAATCACCCAACAACAACATCTCAAGAGATAAACACATGTCGAAATCGAAAATGCAAGCACATTCATGCGGAGTGCACGCGTGCCCGTCTTGCCTCGCGGTACCCCTGTCTCGCAAGTGTCGCAACGGCGATGGCATTGCTGCACTCATCCGTTTTGTGTCTTGACACTCACGACCGAGGCGTGCCTTGAGAATGAAAAAACAAACACGGACACTGCGGGAATACTATTACGAGGGCCCTTCGAAATCACAACCGCGAACAAAAAAACAACATCAAACGCTGTCGCGGCAAGAGCGACAGCTTGAAAAGGCAAAGGCTGTGCCACGTTAACAGAGGGCGGGAGTCGGCGACAAGTCTCACCTCGAGTCGGTACGGGCTCGTCAGAAAGTTCTTGCTGGTCTCCAAGCGCCGGTGGAGCACCGCGAAGAGTCGGACAGGCGTCCGGATCTGCTTGATCGGCTGCACTCGCGGCTGTGCCGCCGCCACCGCCGCCGGCTTGCCACGTACTCGAGCAGTGTCCCCCCGCCCCTTGCCGGAAGCGCTTTGCCCTCTCGCACCCTCTCCCGCTGCTCCCGCCGCCGCCGCCGCTGCCGGTACGCCCTTCGCGGCGCCATCTCTACCCGCGACTTGCGTGTGGCGAACCTCCGGCGGGGGCAGCTCTCGTTTTCCCCTTTCCTCTCCCCGTCGTCCTTTCTCTGCCACCTGTCGGCCACTTCCGTCCGCCGTGGTACTGCCACCGGAACCCCCGCCCCCGTTATCTGCTGCTGCTGCTGCTGCTGCTCCTGCTCCTTTCGCCGCCACCGCCGCCGCTCCTGCTGCTGGTCTTTCCTCGCCATCACAGCCGTCATCATTATCATCATCATCCTCGTCATCATCATCGACGTCGGTTTCAGCATCGTCGCACACGTCGCCCGTCGGCGGCGCGGCCGGGACGGGGGCGGGCTTCGCCGCCGCTGCCGCCGCCGCCGCTGCTGCTGCCGTTTTCGCGGCCGCCGCCTCCCCGTACACGTCCCTCTCGAGCTGGTAGACGTAGAACATCTCGTGCTCCTTCATGCTCTGCAGGGTGCGGTCCGGGCTAACGGTTGCGAAGATCTTGTGCGCGTTGATGTCCACCACGGCAAGGTCCTCGCACCGCAGCCCGACCCGCGTGTAAAACCGTCGCTCTTCCTCCAGATTGTCCTCCTCTTCTTCTTCCTCCTCCTCCTCCTCCTCCTGCTGCTGCTGCTCCTCCTGCTGCTGCTTCCCGTCGCCCTCGTTCCCCCCTCCTCCCCGCTTCCCCTGCTGACTCTCGGCCTGCTCTGATCCGTCCCCCCCTTGCGACGACGAAGCAACAGCCTTGAGCTTTGGTGGCTCTGGCGGAGGGGGAGGCGGACGCCTTGCGCGCTCCGTGGGAGGCGCATTAAACGTATCCACGATCGCCTGTTGGCAGAAGCGCGGAAAGCAAGAGTTCCGGGGGGGCCAGAAAATAAATATGAGGCGGGGGGCTAGCATCGTTCCAAGTGGATCCTTCGAGCATTTAACGGGTGTGACAATGGGGGGCGAGTGAGCCACACAACGGCGACATTTGTTAACGCGGGTTCAGCGCTCATCTCTCTCCCCGCCGTCCCCCTACTGCCTTTCAGCAGCAGCAGCAGCAGCAGCAGCAGCAGCATGCTGACACCCTCACCCCCCCAAGCGCTACAGTAGATTTGGGCGTCGGTCAACAAAAAACGGGAAAAAAAAAAAAAACTCACCCTCACGAGGTCGCTGACCCGTCCCGACTTGGGCAGCCTCAGGGAGCACTTGGCTGGGCATCTCGCCCCGTCTAGTAGTACAACGATGACCATCACCGACCTCTCCGTGTTTTCCGGAAGAGGAAGCTGCCGGTGTGTGGCGACGAGTTGTTGTAGGGTACATGTGGTACCATGGTGGTGGGGCGAGGAAAAAAAACAAAAAAATGAGAGTGAGGGGAGAGAGCGAAGAGGGGGGGGGGGGGTTGTGCAAACCCGCAGAGAAAAAGGAGGAGGCGTTATCTATGTACCCCCCGAGACATGGAAAGGCGCTCCGACCAAAAACGGCACGAAAAAATAGCACAGAAAAGGTGACGATGAAGCGCAGTAGAGGCAACTTGCAGTCGCTCCAGACAGGTCGGGCTTCATCCATCGACTCTGCGCTGCTGTTCCTGCGGCGAAAAAAAACAAACGATGAGGACCCAAGAGAATATGACAACGAGGGGACGACGACAAAGCCTTACTATTACTAACATGAAGGAACTTACTATTGGCCTGAAGGAACCTCCTAACCTGGACGAACGTACTAACCTGAAGGAACATGAAGGGCTCGAAGCGGGCGGACTCGTAGCCGCACTCCCGGCAGGCCAGCACGCTCTTGAACTGCCCGGCGAACAGGGCCACGACGATGGAGAACTCTCTCCTCAGGTGGTTCTTCCACCAGATGTCGGCCAGCTCGGCGTCGGACCTGCCGTCGCTGTCGGGCTGCTCGATGTACGGCTTGTCGGCGATGCGGTTGAGGTCCTCGTTCAGGCCGTTCAGGAGGAACGCCAGCAGCTCCTGCGTGTGTGTGTGTGTGTGTTGGTTTAAGCATATTCGTGGTGTTAAACGGCGTTGCTCGTTGTTGGTGTAAGCATGTTGTTGGTATGAAACAGCAAAGCCTCGTGGCGCAAGAGGATCTCTCTCTCTCTCTCTCTCTCTCTCTCTCTCGCCGCGCAAAAATTGCGTCAGTGTGGCGAGGCCATAGAGGGGGAGGGCAAAGAGTGGGTTCTGCTGACACACTTGTATACAACAGCTGAAATCCAACACCGCACTCCGTCTTTCGCCGCTTCCTGGACAGCGTTGTCAACATCCATGGCACGACAGCTTCTGTCGTATATACCTCAGTCTCACTCAAAAACCCTCTCTTTGCCCACTAGATCGACCCTGACACGTCTCGCCCAGGAACTCTAGAGTCTGCTGCTGTTTTTTAAACAACGTGGTAGAACCGACTAAACCCCGGGACATGGACACAACTGTCGACAAGGTCATACTCATGAACCGAGAATCAAAACACACATCCCAAAATAAATAAAAAATCCTAAAATAGCCTTCTCATTCGTTACCTAATTCTGCGAGGTCAATGGTCTAACGACTACAGCATGCACGACTATGATTTGGGTTTTCGTCGCTTGGCAGCGGTGTTGTCAAATAAGCCGATCACTTCGTGAGCTCGGCAAACCAGGTTACGGCTTTTTTTTTTGCCTTTTTTTTTTTTTGCGGTAACCATGAATGGTGGTCGAGCAGATCATGTTGTGCGGGGTCGATAACCCTCACTCCGTGCAAAGGGGATCATCGTACCGCGTTGTGTTAAAATGGTCAAGCACCCTCGAGGCAGTTACACAGTGCTTACAACTGTCTATGGAAGTGAAAGCACCAGCAAATAAATTAAGTCATACGCAGCTGTCATCCGTACGCAAGAAAGTAAGCACAAGACGCCGAACACCCTTAGCAGGATGCAGTGCACCCTTCATGCGACTCGCCGAATACCTCACGGCGCTTCGCGCTTGGTGATGTGAGAGCCTGGTCCGGTGAGAACCCGGCGTGCTCCGTCCCGGCTTTGTAGGGATGCGAGGTCAATGGTCTAACGACTACGGCATGCACGA